AATGTAATGTAATGTAATGTGATGCAATGTAATGTAATGAAATGTAATGTGATGCAATGTGATGTAATGAAATGTAATGAAATGTAATGTAATGTAATGTAATGTAATGTAATGTAATGTAATGCAACGTAGTGTAATGTAATGCAATGGTATGTTTGTATTGATGTCTGTCTGTCTGCATGTATGTATGTATGTATGTATGTATGTATGTACGTATGTATGTATTTATGTATGTATGTATGTATGTATGTATGTATGTATGTATGTATGTATGTATGTATGTATGTGAGTGTTTTCATATATATATATATAATAGTACAGATCCTCCGAGGAAGCCTGAAACCAGCAATCCCAGGCTGCCAGAAAGGGCACGTTCTCCAGGCCGTCTCCCTCGAAACGCTTTCAGAGACGTGCGGCACAGAGTTGACTCTGCGGCTGCAGTGTCACGGTCAGGGTTTCAGGGGCCTTTTTGTCTCCGGAAGTCACAAGGGCGATGTATAAGATGTTCCCCAAGAGTTTGCATACGTTTTGGAGCTGAGGGGTGCTAGTTGGGGCTTGGCATATTGTCTTAAGAGCCCATTTTGACTTCCGACCATCTTTCAGGATCTTTTGCCAGTAAACACCAACTGAAGGGCTCTATCCTCAAGAAGGAACGAAGAAAGGAACTTCGTACCTGTATTGCTTCAAGAGCAGCAGCAGCAGCAGCACATGTTCGGATTCGGAGACCTGGAAACCAACAGCAGCCGATACTCTACACCACAACAAGGAGGAAGAAGCCACGAGCGACCCTGTACTACCATTGTTGTCCCAAGACCTCCAGCCCGGAGCTCCAAGCGCCAAAGCACAGCTAGAGCGATTCGGGGGGTTTTGGTGATTTAAGGGGGTTAGGGCTTAGGGTTTTTGGGGTTTAAGGGGGTTCGGGCTTAGGGTTTTTGGGGTTTAAGGGGGTTAGGGCTTAGGGATTTAGGGCCTAGGGAGAGCATCTGAGGAGCTGCGATGCCTGCTGTGAAGCGATCTTCGGGCCGGCGCGGCCAACAGATCACTCCTATGCCCTCTGGGCTTTCCAGAGACCCCAAGACCCCAGGAATCAAGGGATGTAGTAAGGATCACCATATAGCTTAAGGTGAAGTCCTTAATTCATGTTCAGGGGGTTTTGGAGTCCCTAGTTTTAGTTCGGGTTTAGGGTCGCCAGGAGCCCTGAAGGTAGCTATGATAGACGATTTGGATTAAGGAGCTCAACAAGAAACACAAATAAACTCTAAACCCAGAATGGGACCCCCAAAAAAGGAGCTAAACCCTCAAGGCTAAAGCCAGCAAAGGAGCTCACCGAAGAGCACAACCTTAACCCCTAAACCCAGAAAAGGAGCTCGAAGAAACAAAGAGCTAAACCCGAAACCCAGACAAGGAGCTCAACAAAAAAATGCTGCCAAAAACCCTCGGAGCCCAAAATACACCCCAAACCGTAAAAAATCCCTCGGAGCTCAACTTACACCCTAAACCGTGAAGCCTGAACCCGAAACCGAGGCTTGCCTGGATTGCCTCCGAGAGCGCCAGGATCCTCCTGCCAAGGCTGAGCCCCGCAAAGTGGACACAGGACGAAGCGGTTAAGGACTTAGGGATTTTTTGGGGGGGGTTTAGGACTCAGAGGTTTAGGGTTTAAGGTTTCGGGGTTTGAGGATTTAGAATTTAAGACAGGAGCCTGCAAGTATGCTTCCTGAAGGTCTTGCTAAATTTAGAGTGTAAGATATACGCCGAAGCCCCCGAAGCACTAACTATTAAGGCACCTTTTTTTAGGGGCTTGGGGATTTTGGGCTTTAGGGCCTTAAGGGCCTCAAGGGCCTTATTGGGGTTCAGGAGTTTAGAGCTTCTAAGGGTCTAAGGACCGAGGGCGTATTGAGGACTTGGGGATGCTGCAAGGTTCTATTGCGGGTGTTCGCAGGTTAGTTTAGGGTTTAGGAGTTTAGGGTTTAGGGTTTAGAGCCGTTTTAAATTTGAACGAATATAAGTCAAGAAGCCTCAAGGCACAGCTTTTGCTATTCCTATTCCTAAAGCATGCGCTAAAGCATGCGCCGCAACCAGAACTGCATACAGGCTCTGCGGAAACCACCTTGGATATGTATATCTATATATATGTATACAAAGGTATATATAAGCTTTGCCTTATGTAGACCCTATAAGTAGCCTATAATACTATAAGGACACCCTGGCCGTATGAACCACCCATAAGCCCCCGAACCCAAAACGCCTCAACACAGACGATCCTGAAAGTTGAAGCGAGGACAGAGCTACCAGATCCTCTGCCCAACATGCACGTGGAAGCTTTATCGGCAGCCTGGCGTGCAGGCTGTTTTTGCTTAGACGTCGTGCAAGCACTGGTTTCGGTGCAGGGGTTAAGGGTTTAGGGGTGACCTAATTGGTGAGAACTGAATCACACTTTTCTTTGGCTGCAGCAATCCTGCTCTTCTTGATCTCCGTCCGGTCAAAGTCTGTGAAGCTATGAGCCCAGCCTGGCTTGCAGAATGAAGCCATGCCACACCAATATCATCTTCTTCGAAGCATTGCTTCTTGCTGCTTGCAGCGGCTTTTTGTTTTGCTAGTGTAGCGCTTTTGGACACGGTGTGGATTGGCTTTGAGTATTGGGCCTGTAGAAACCTTGAGCCTGATATGAAAATCACCAACCCGAAGCCCCTTAAGCCCCTTAACTTTAAACCCTTCAGCCCTAAACTTTAAGCCCTAAACTCTAAGCTTTCAAGCCTAAGCCCTAAACTTTCAACCCTAAACGTTAAACCCTAAACCCCAAGCCCTTGAGACAACCGAAAGCCCAGGAAGGGCTCGACAGAGTCGCCGTACAAGCACCTGGGACAAGAGCCTTGGCGCTACATTCCTGTGCATTATGGGGGCTCTTAATAAGTATACGGGTACATGGTAAGGAGCCCTAAGGAATACTGTAGTCCTGGTAATAACATGGGCTTCTACATTAGGTTTGACGGCTCCAATAGGCTTGAGGATTTCGGGCTCAGCGAGACTCAAATCATTGAGGTCTTCGGGCCTTCTGTTGCGCAGTTTCAATCACCCTACAAAGGGGTTGGTACTTAACCGCTCGATGCAGGGGTGACCAGTGCAAGTGCCAAGATCCAACTATCAGAGACCCTGATCTTGGAATCATGGGATCGGTTTAAAGCTTGGGGTTTGGGTTTTGAGGTTTAGGGCTTATAGGGGCTGTAGGATGTTCAGTGAGAAGCAGGTTGAAACGCTAGCATCTCCGGTAGTTGCCTGTGCCGATACGTTTCACTCAGAATCCCTCTAGGTCTTCAGATAATTTTCACTCAAGAGTAGACCTGCGCAATTAAGCCCTCGACACCCTCAACATACATTCCTTAATTGAGAGGTTAACTGGAATTCTGCGAAGCCCTGGGCCTTGACAAGTAGACTAGGGTTTTGGGGACCATCATTCGAAATATAAGGGCCTTAATAATTAGACTAGGGTTTGGGGGTATATTATACTAGAACTATACTTAGTAAGGAACCCCCAAGATAGTATTGGTTATTCTTTAGGCCGCTACAGCAAATCATCCCGATGCCCTGGCACTTTGGCACGGGTGTGAAGCAAAGGCCCTTTGGAGGGTAAAACCCTCCAGAACCTCGAATGGGAACCCATTTTCTGAGCGTGCTCAAATGAGCCCCTATATAGACTTCTTCAGGTACCCTGCAACAAGAATCGGCCATGCAAATTCAAGCAACTTAGTGGGAAACCCGTTCAGTAATTAGCCCTGAATTATCGTCTAAACCCGAAACCCTTTCATGATCCCTTTGTTGACTGTCGCCTAGACCGAAACGCTCAGACCGGAACAAGAAGCGTCCAGGTCAGTTGCCAAGCCTGCGACCGCTCCTTAACACAGCAAAGATCCCTTGAGGGTTCCTTAAGGGTTTAGGGCTATGGGTCCTGGGTTCATTAGAGCGTTCATCTAGGATTCTTTTAGGGCTCCTTATTCCCAAAGGGTTTAGGGCTATAGGTCTTGGGTTCATTAAAAGGGTTGATTTCGGATTCTTTTGGGAATCCTTACTTATTCAGGCTTTGGAACCCGACTGGGTTCGTTTAGGGGTTCGCTTTATAAGGGTTCCTTCAGGTGGTTCTTCTCCGTGTCTGTAGGGGACCTTTCCGGGTTCGTTAAGTCTCTGTTTAGCAGTTCAAGGGTGGAGGGTCTAGGATAGTGTTGAGGATCCCTAAACCCTAAACCCCTAAACCCTAAACCCCGCAACCCTAAACCCCCAAGCCCCTAAACCCTAAACCCTTGACAAGGCGTTCAGGACTCTAAGGCGTACTTTGGTAGACCCAAATTGCAAACAACGTCGGCAATGAACCCCCGAAGCCAGACTCCACATGCCAGCCCCAGCCCTGAAGTCTAGGGTTTAGGGTTTAGGGTTTAGGGTTTAGGGTTTAGGAATTAGGGTAGGGGCTATGGCTTCAAGAATTTCAAAGATGCAATATAGGGGCCAGAATAACTACCTGTACTATTTGGGGGGGGGGCTCCCTAGTATCATTTTGGTAGAATATACCCTAAAGCCCTGTTCTCATTATCAAGGCCGCGACAGTATATGTTTCGGGACCCTATGAAATCTATTCAGGCCCCTACATCAGTGCCCTTCTCCAGCCCTGGAGCTGCACCCTGATCCGATTCCCGAAACCTTAGAAACCACTCCCAAACCACTATATCTTTCGGGGTTTAGGGCTTTGGGTTTAGGGGTTTAGGGTTTAGGGTGCAGTGTAGTACCCTCATCGGGTCTTGAAAGCGAACCTTAGCCCACTTGTGCGACACCACGAAACCGCCGCTTACAATCAACCCAACCCGCTTCCCTGAAAACATCCTAAAACCTTACATACCCTAAACCCTAACACCCCTGAACCCTAAACCCTGGACAAGCTAACCATCTGTCAGTATCACGCCGACCTGCGACTACAGAACCCCGCTTGGCTTGTCCGAGTTGCGAGAACGTAAACCGCAAAAAAAACCAAAAAAACAAACCACAGCCATGATTCCCAAATTCCGAAATCCGAGGAACCGATCTGGGCCCAGATGCCCCCAAGGACGAGATGGATTTTGGGGTGTTCTCCTAGGGCGTCGTAGGGCTGTTGACCTTGGTTGGGCATAGTTTAGGGCGAAAGGGCTGGAGGGGTGTAAGTACATTCTATACTATCATCATAAAGGGACGATTGGGAGATGCGATTTCTACTTATTCACACCCCTGTATTTGTCTTTGTTCGCGGGTCAAGATTCTAGTTTTTCGTTGGGAAGGGATGATGGGGGGGTGAAGCTGTCGGTGGTGGCCTTCAGCTTTGCACTGTTGGGCTGAAGGTGTTTTGGCTTTATGTTGCTCGGCAACTTTAAGACGATGACCGAACTGTAGATTTTAGCAGGGTTGTCAAGCCCTAAACTTTTTTCCTCAAGAGAGATCCGTGATGACACGATATTGGTGAATTACTGGTGCCTGTTTGGCTGCAGGGCCGTCGGGTTCATGACTACCGGGGCTAAAGCTTGGCGTTACTGTAAGTTGGCAGGGTTCAGAGTTTGCTGCAGGAGCGCAGAGTCTGGTTTAGCAACATGTAATGTAGGGTCCTTACTAACTTTTTATATTAGTCCGTCGGATTCATTATTAAGGGTATAAAACATATGCTATAGTTATAAATCACAGCTAAGGTACACTGTACCCCCAAACCCTACCCTAAGTATTGAGGCCCCTATATCACAGTCTTTTCAGTACTGTGTCTTGGTTTTGCCCCGTGATGTGTTCGGCTTCCTTTTTTCAGCAGCATGCGGCAGGATGCACGTCTAAAGCTGCATTACGCAACCAAAAACTCCTTCACAAATGATGTTCTGCTTCTTGACGGCAGCTTCGCGCAGCACCAAATCTGAAGCCGAGACTAATCCTAAAGCGAAGCTACCAATGACCGCCCTTAGGGCTTCGGGCGCTTCGGGGCGACCGTATCTCGGCAGAAGACTTCCCAAGCCATCAGCCACAAGCGATGCGCTGCGCCAAAGACTTAAAGACGCACGCAGCCCCCACTTTCCGAATCGGTGTTGGGCTTACTGCCGAGGGTTGTCGTTCTTGTAGCAACTCAGGGTTGTGAATGAACAAGTGCCGTAGTGCCCAAGCCTCGGTCGAGACTAGGCGCATGGTATAAGGTCGCAACAATTGCTAGTAGTATCCCCTTTATATTCCCGCATAAATATTTTATACTAGATCACCAAACACGATTCGAAGGCATAAGGGGCCCATAAACTAAGTTGTAAGCTCAACGGGAGGACGGACCGGCGCTCTCCGACGCCCGGAGCTTCTACCACTGCGAGGACGCACTGCAACAGCCCAGGGTTGCAATGCCAGGGGCCTTTTCACCTAGTCAGTAAGCTTCTGCAGCAACTATAAGAAAGCATTACCACTGATCCTTCAGAACCATATACTGGATATACGATATACTATTGGAAACTTCGGATAGAGAGAGAGAGAGAGAGACGGGAGCTTTTGCTGTCGATTCAGTGCGTTGAAGTGCAGGTCATACTAGACTATGACCCCTCTATAGAGTTTTTGGGCATGTCGTGATGTAAGAAGTTCCACAGAGACGATAGGGATGCAGAGACCAAAAAGGGACTGCTATGACTAAGCATGTATATTTTATGTTACAACTTTTTGCTCCTCCTTCCTTATTCCTGCCGTGTCCCCGAAGATACACATAACACAGGGGGCTAAATAATTACCAATACTTTTTTTTTTGGGTGGGGGGCTCCTTATTATAGTTGTAGTATAATATACCCCCCCAAACCCCATTCCAATTATTAAGGTCCCTCTCTTGAACCCTTTATAGAAACCCTTATAGAACCACTTTTAGGAACCTGTTTAGAGGAACCCTGTTCTAATTATTAAGGCCCCTACACTACGAGTGACTTGCATTTTGCATTCTGTGGGTTGTCGTCCAGGCTGTTAGGCTTACACACACACACACACACACACACACACACGGGAGTTTCCGAAAATTAGGGGTACCTTATTTTGGGGTACTTATAGTAAGGATCCTGCTATTTAGGGTGCTATATTTAGGGTCACCTATATTCGGAAACCCCCAACATGGTGCTCCCCAACCCGAGTATTCCACCGCCTAAACAACCGTAGACCTCAGAGCATAACCTCAGATACCAACAACCCTTGAGTCGCAACTCTCCCGAATCCTCAACTCCTACATAGGTCAAGCCTACCACCCCCAAAGCACACCCCAGCAAAAGGAGTGTTGGAGCACCGGCGCGAAGAACGACCTTTGCCTTTCGGATTCCTTGAACTCTTGCGTCATAGGATTTTTTAGAGTCGAGGATCGAGCGAAAGTGCCTAGGAAGTTCGGGTTCAGGCTTAGAGTCTACGGTGCACCCTTAGACCCCACAGGTAGGGAGAGGGCAGCCTGAACCCCGCTTCCTTACCCCTAGCTTAGTTTTAAACTACGAGGTCCATGTAAATAGCATATACTTTGGCCTTAAGGTAGTCCCTACATAGGTACTTTGGGGCCAAGGTATATACTACTTGGGTACTTCCGAAAATAGGGGGTACCTTATTTGGGAGGTCTCCTAATAAGGATCCTACTATTTAGGGTACTATTTTAGGGTCCCCTATTTTTTGAAACCCCCAACATGGTGCTCCCCAACCCAAGTATTCCACCGCCTAAACAACCGTAGACTTGAAACCATAACCTCAGATACCAAGAACCCTTGAGCCGCAACTTTACTACTTGGGTACATGGACCTGAAGGCCTTGGGTTTAGGGGAACCCTACGGCAGCCTCGTCTGAGCTAGGAAGAATGCCACTCCCAACTCAGACTCTACTGGTTTAGGGTTTAGGGCTTAGGGTTTAGTGCGGGGGTTTCCGAAAATTGGGGTACCTTATTTTGGGGTCCTTATAATAAGGATCCTATTATTTAGAGTACTATATTAGGGTCCCCTATTTTCGGAAACTCCCATACTGCAACTCGGTTTGGGGTTTTGCCTGCATTGGGCAACGTACCCCCGGAACTCTGTTGATGTCTCGTGCCCTTATACCCTAAACCCTAAACCCTAAACCTTATGCCCTAAATCTTGAACCAAAGACCCTGTAGTACTCTGACACCCAGCAGGTCCCTAGACAGCAGGTTCCTTATCTTGTGGATCTCGAAACGCGGGTAGTATAGGAGCCTGAAATATCACGGGGTTGCCAACTATAGTTCTACTACACAGCTTATACATGTATCTCAAAACCCCTACCCTAAGTCTGAAGGCCCCGAAGGTTTTGCAATAGTCCCCTGCTACATGAACCGACTTTGGTACCCGATTTCTTTGGAGCGCACTCCCTGAACAACAACTCACTTAGGGGAGCTTTTGCCAAAGACTTCTGCCTGCCCTTGACCCGAAACCCCCCAAAACTGAAACACAAGAACCCGAGCTATAGTCTCCATTGTGGTTCTTTTTGCGTAACCTCGTGCTATATATGGGATCCTTTAAGGGAAACCCCCAAAAAAGGAACTACGATGGAGACTATAGGTAAACTCCCGAAGGCCCCCCGGGCACCCTGGGGGTGTCCTGCAAAGACCACCCGACTGCTCCAGGCTACCTGTGTGCACTGCGACAGCTGAAGTGCCTTGGACCCCAAAGCACTAAAACCCCTAAACGCTAAACCCTAAGCCCTAAACCCTGGCTCTTGAGGTTGACGCTAGGGCTCTTACGACGTGAGTATGATGGTGAAACCCGAACCCCCGAGCCCCAAGCCATGTCCGCCCCATGCAGGGTGTGTCTGCCTGGGAAGAGAGGGGGGGGTTTAAATGCAGCTGTTTCCAAGCCCTCCACCATAGAAAAGCTGGACCTTAAACCCTTACACGCTTGCCCCAAGCCCCTAAACCCTAAACCCTAAACCGAACCCCAAAATAGCAGAGGTAGTTCTTACGGCCCCTAAACGGAGACCCCTATGTAAACCAAGGGAGACCTCGTCTGGCTTGTCCGAGTTGCGAGAGCGTACGTGAACCCTCAACCGAATATAGGGGCCTTCATAATTACCCTATACTGGTTTGGGAGTTCCTTACTATAACTATAGTATAATGGGCCCCAATATCCTATTCTAATTATTCAGGCCCCTACATGAGGCTCTAAACCCAGAAGCCCAGACCGGGTTCGGCTTGCTCCTTGCACAAAGGTGTACCAGCGGCCATGATCTAGATCCCCTCCTTGCTAGCAGCTCGGCTGTGCTTCTTTGGAGGCTATAAGGAAGGAGGCGATGAGGAACCTGAGAAAGTTTCGTTGGATTCGATGTATGTTTTCTGGTGCGCATCCGACCTTCTTATACAGGAACCCCAAGGAATGCTGTTCGAATTGCAATGCCTCAAGGCAGGCCAGGGATCTTCGAGCAGGTCGCCTGATTGTAGTGCTGCTTAGGCTTTGCGCCTGATGTCGTTTGGTGGCGGGCGTAGGTCCGGGTTTCTCTTCAGGGCTGCTCGGGTTTACGGGTTTCGTGGGGCTTTATGGGTGGCGGTGTCGCTCACCCTGGGCTCCAAGCGCCAGGGCCTTAAAGGCAAACAAAGGGACCTTGACTCCTCACTCGCCCAAGGCCCCTTCGCAGAGAATCTGCACTGCGCCGTCTCTTGGCTAGCACTGCTTCCTCCTAAACCCTAAACCCTGTACTGGTTGCAAAACGGGTTTCTTGGACTTGGAGATCTCCGGGTCACCTGCCCAATTCCGCCTGATTGAGGAAGGCTTGCTACGGTTATGCTCTAGAGCGCAGAAACTGTCAGAGTCCTGGGTGTGGGTTAAGTTTAGGGTGCTTCATAGCGAGATTCATAGGGCTCAGTTTGTCTTTGCCTCTTCGACTACCCTACGGGCTCGGGATAGGGAACTCAGCAAACGTTCCGTTCGCAGTAATTCTGGGTGGTGGGGCCACGGCTTTAGAGGTTTTTTTTTTTTGGGGGGGGGCTTGAAGTTCAGGGTTGGTTCAATCTTCAGGTATTTGGGTTTACTCTTTCGGTTTTAGGTATATAAGGTCCAGAGTATTGGAGGTTCTTGATGTTTCAGGTTTGGGGCTTACAGGGTTTGGAGGCTGGGCTGGAGTCTTATTTCGTTCTTTTGAGGCAATTTGGGTCACCGGTGAGGCGGCGATTAGAATAGGCATCTAGGGTATGTTGTAGTTGCATTATAATAAGTGGCTTCATATGGAATGCAGTTTCGGGTTATTTCTAGGGTTTCGGGTTTAGGATGCGAAAAGCTACACAAACACCTTTGTCGCCAGGTTTGCCTGGCGAACTTGGATGCCGAGGAGGAGGCGTGGATGCTTTTCCGCCCCGACAGCAACATTCTGAGGGAAAGCTCTTAGGGTTTTTTATTTAACCCTAAACCCTAAACCCTAAACCTTTAGGGCCACTGTCAGGTGTAGGTTTGCTTTCGAAGTGTGTGTGCTGGGGTGAGATCCGGGCTAGGAGGTTTGTGCAAAGCCGAAGCAGCCAAAGCTCCAAATAACTCCCCTGAACCTTTAAAGTCTCAAGAGCTTTCCCTAAGCACTGAGCCGCAAACCCCGTGGGCTCTGAAAAGCTCGACTAGTTCAGCTCGTAGCAAGCCCATATTGCCCTAGACTCGAAGCCGAGAGGCATATCACTGCCGGGATTGCTGGTGGCTGAGGGGCGTACGCCTCGATCGTTGCGTCTCCTGCGCGGGTCAGAATCAAATCAGGCGAGAGGGCTAGCCACTTAGCCTTTCGGGATATCGGGCTTTGGAGTTCTTAGCAGGGGGCATTATGATATATGGTTTTGCGGCTTTTCATAAAGGTTTGTCGGGGGTTATGAGGAGTGGCAAGGACCCTATACCCCTACAACTCGAAACCGCGGAAGCCCTCAACGCCCAAACCTTGAAAGCTGTAAACCCCAAAGCCCTCAACCCGTACAAAACAAGCGCCCTACATAACCCTAAACGCTAAACTTTAAAAAGAACTACATGAAGGTTTAGGGTTTACCGGCTTGACACATATGCCGTTTAGGGCTTCCATGTCAGAGGATCTTACCCCAAACCATATTTCGAACTGGTTGACTTCGGTTCACGCTTACTTATGTCAGGGGATCGTACTACGAAACGTTTTCGTTTGTTTAAGTTAAGTCCGGAAAATGTCTCATCCGCTCGGCAGGTACACCTTGGACAACGACGCGCGCTTGCAGGTGGTGCCGGGCAATTCCCCGGCAGGCCGGCGCGATTCGGATACTCAAGCCCTAAACCTCAGACTGCCCAAAAGCCCTAAACTGTAAACTCCAAACTCCTCGAGTCTATGGCTCCGAACCCAGAGTCTCGGAAAGTAGACGCAGCACCCAGCGGTCAACTGGTGGATTTTGTGCTGTGCGAGCTCTTGGATTGTCCAAGTTCATCTATCCTCCGACGAAGCAGAAGCATGTGTGACATCTACTAAAAACACGCCTGCTGCTGTTTCTGCTCAACCGCGACTTCAAGTTTTTCTGCTCCGCAATACCTGCAAGATGCTGCAAATCTGGTTGCTCTCAGGAGACCTGGTGGCGGCCATGTTAAACTTGTGGAGGAGTCGAAGGAGCTCCGCGACGCGACGGGCTTGAATCAGCGGCACGGCGTGGTCCCACGATTCAGACAGAACGGACAGAGTTTAGAGGAAAGGGTCCTGCTGCATGCGCCCATGGAGTGGTGGCGTTGCCGTTTGCTAACGTTTCCCAATCGCCGGCGAACGACCTGGTAGCTGCAGACAAAGGCTCCATGGCCGAGGTGGAGTCAATGCTGCAGCTACCCAAGATCCAGATTTGCTTGGCTCAGACGATTGCAAGGCCTTGATGTATGCAGCCGGCGCAGGTCACGTAGAGATCGTTCGCTTGTTGCTGGGGGCTGGTGCCAGCACGGACATGGCGGACAATCTCGGCCGCAGAGATTTGATGTTGGCATCTGATGCGGCTCACGCCGCCAGCGCGGAGGTGGTAGATACCGACGAGTTCACAGCTTTGATGAGGGCTTTCGGCGGAGACTATGGTGAGGTCGTCCGTTTGCTGCTAGAGCACGGTGTGAACGTGAACCTGACAGAAAACGTTGCAAGCACAGCTTTGATGTTGGCTCGAGTCAGCAAGTTCTGATGCCATGTACGTTTCCCTAATCCTGAGGTAGTGTTTGAGCTGACCCTAGCACACCAATTTACGAAACCCTGAACCCACCCAAATTAGCATGATCCCCCCGGATTCTGGCAGGCGAAATCACCTGGAAGAGGCCCTACGAACCGGTGGCACACACCAGGAGCGGGAGATGTCAAACATTGCTGGGCGAAGGGTATAAGGTGTAGGGGTTCAAGATTCAGGGTTTAAAAGGCTTGCGGTAAGCTGTTCCTTTCAAGGGTACTATAAAGGGTTCCTTTTCAGGGATCTACAAGGGTTCCTTCTAAAGGGATCTAGAAGGGTTTAGGGTTCAGGTAACCCTAAACCCTAAACCCCTAAACCCTAAACCCTAAACCCTAAACCCCTAAACCCCTAAACCCTAAACCCCTAAACCCCTAAAACCCTAAAACCCTTATAAACCCTAAACCCTACAGGACCAGGACTTGGGGCGGGTCGTGTAACAGACGCCGACACCTCGGGTTGAAGCTTTTGGGTTCCTCTGGGCAGTTGTCAAAATTAGGGTCCCTTTTGGGGTACCCTAAACCCTAAACCCTAAACCCTAAACCCTAAATAATAGGTGCCGTATTATAGTAAGGACCCAAAAAGGGACCCTAATTTAGACAACCACCCCTCTCGCCTCCTGACCTTCAACCGCCGAAACCTGGGGTTTAGGGCCTTTGAAGTTTAGGGGTTTAAGTTTAGGGGTTTGGGGTGTAGAACCTGGGGTTTGGGGCCTTTGGGGTTTAGGGGTTTGGGGTTTGGGGTTTGGAGTTTAGGGTTTTAGGGTTTAGGGTTGCTTCAGCAAGCACGGAGATTTCAAAGCTTGTAAAACACGACAAAAGGCTCAAAGGTTCGATGGCGAAACCTGCCACGCTAGGTCCGCAAGCGGCCGCGAAAAGCTGCCCTTCGCCCAAGTTCACTGCTGGTAGCCTCTGTTCAAGCTGGCTTTCCCTCAAGCCCCAACCTGGGATTTTAGCTTTTAGGGTGCTCCAATCAGCAAACCTCTGCGTCAGCATTGAATCCCTCCAGAAGCTTGAAGCCCAAAGCTCGGAAAGCCCTTGAACACCTCATGAGACACACCTTCCACTTCCCACACCCTGAAGCCCCCAAAGACCGATGCCTGCAACGCCTCGAGGATACGAGGTCCGGACGGCGATGTCCAGCTCGACGTTCTCGGACTTGCGGTTTTTGTAAAATCAGGTTTCAGGCGTTTTGGCGGCCGGGGGTTCAGCTTGAGGTGGCGCCCTAAACGCTAAACCCTAAAAGCCCGAAGCCCCGAACCCTTCAGGGCTGCATGGTTGTGCCCTTCTGCTGTTTCTTGGGACCACCGGAGGGTGGGGTCGATCTCCGCAAGTCCTGGCTTGAAGACTGGACGTTTTTTCGGTATGCAATATAGGAGCTTATATAGTTACCAATATTTTCTGGGTGTTCCTTAACAGAAGTATAGTATAATGGACCCCAAAACCCGATTGCAATTATTAAGGCCCTTAGATTACCTGGCATGGAGCCTTAGGCCGGGGACGGCAGCAGTGATTCTATAAATGAGCAGCTTACCTCAATACAAAACCAGACAACCTTCGAACAATTGCAAGAGCGATGTGCTTGCACTGCACATAGAGCTATTGTAAGTTGAAATTCCCGATAAAAGATCACGATTATGACCAGAACCCAAAAAGCCAGGGGCCAGGACTTCAGACCCAACACAACGGCCTGAACAACTACCAGCGCCAGGGTTGGATAGTGCCAGTACATCTGCCTTCAGTTCACTTACACGCCGAAAAACACTGATCGTCCACCTCAGCTCCAAAGCACTCTGGCCCCTGTATACCAACTGGTATGATATTGCAGCTCTAATGTTTTGGGCCTCAACAGATTCCTGACCCCCTGACGCCATCGCTGCGCTTAGGTACGGCTGAAACTGCTTGGCCTGCTTCCTGACTTCGAACCTGATAGTCCCCAACAGAGGCCTAAACCCCTAAACCCTAAACCCTTGAGAAGACCTTTATCATGGTTCTATTTGGGGTTCTACATTGGCTCTATACGGTTTCAGAAGGGTTTGGTGATGTTTGGTGCTTCCGGGTGCGAAAGGAACCAAGAGTCTCCAAGCACCAAAAGCTCTCAGATGTCCGGTTTCCTGGAATCCCGGTTTCCCAACCTGGACGAATAGCATGTCACATGCCCTCACGCTGTTTCAAGCATCGGGGACCCCATGTTAAGGACCCAATCTTAAGTTCTCTGCCATGAAGCCTGATCTTGAAGATCTCCATCCCTTTTCTGCTTCATGCTGCCTGAAAATCGGTCATGCTGTTCTTGTGGCTTCGCGGAGAGTGATTCCTGCCCTTTTTGTCCCTCTCCAGCTTCATCATCGTCTTGGTCTCACGATTTGGGGCTGGTAGTGCCTGATGGTGTTGTCATGTGCCAGTCATGTTCAGATACGCGTGGTGGACGTTATCGTGTCGTAAAATCGAAGCCCGGATCCTGAAAGGCCCGGAAATACTATAAAGCCGTAAAAACTAATAGCATTACTCCCTCAATAGCCCATATGTATGAGCAGTATAATTTGCCTCAAACCCTATTCTGCAGTTTCAGGCCCAATGTTACCAGCGAACTGCGTCCGACCGAGGATCTATCCCATGGGCACGCGGCTCAGCCTCTCCTCGCTCTTTGACCACCGCGAAGCGACCATCACTAATCTCCACGACACTTACCTCGGTTTAGGGTTTAGGGTTTAGCACCCAGAGCTGGCAATGTGAATTAGAGGAAGCCCTAAACCCTAAGCGAACTGACCCTGCAATGCGGGATCCGTCCTGGCCATGCGGGACGCAAAAACAAAATCCTAAACGATTGTAGCAGCCACCAGCTGACATCTAGGTTTGCCATAGTTAGTCTTCCGGCAATACCACAGAGATATCCCTCTTTGCTTGTTTGTGTGCGTATGTGTAACTTATGTGTATATATGTATATATATACACATACATAATATGTAGATATACAAATGTATGTGTATATATATATATATGTATGTAGACATAATGCGTATGTGTGTTTATATATACACATGTATCTGTGTGTGCACATACCTCCCTTCAAAGCAGCCACGGGAAACCGAATCCCATGTGTAAACCTTATAAACCCCAAACCCTATGATGTCGAGACCTTGAAGTGCCTGTGAAGCTTGTAGCTTAGGAATAGTTAATGAAAGTGGGACGGTGACACGCGCCGTTCCTATAGCCAATGTGCTTTCGCGATGTACCAGGAACCTCGCCTAGGCAAGTCCGAGAGTGAGTGCTGACATCCTACACCGTATCTTTAAACCACCATGAGAAAGAACCTTAAATCCTAAACAGTAGCCTCTCACTGCCAAGGAGACGGGCAAGTATGTTCTCAGCCTCGACGGGGATCGGAAGCCACTTGTGTTTGAGCCAGACCTGACGCACATCGGCGGCATCGTTTAACGATTACTCAGAGTCCATCCTAGGGTTTCCGGCTTAGGACCTAAGGGCTGAGAGTTTTTGATTAAGGTTCAGGTAATAGACTATACTTTGGTCGTGGAGCGGTTGCTGTTCAGTACCGATCTTGACATTGAGGGCCGATGTAGATATACTGCATGGTACATGGACCCTTAGGCCCGAGGGGTGCAGGCACATTGCAGCTACGGCAACTCAAGGGTAGGGCGGCACGGCGGTAGCGTTTAATGTTTTGACTACCGATAGTATAAGGGTGTGGAGTGCAGGGGCACTAGGGTCAGCCCAGGGATAGTTACGAGGGTTTGAGCTATGAGGGCTCAGGGGTGCAGGAAGATGCATAGCGCATCAAGCCCCTGCTCAAGATGGAACTACTGCATCAGGGCACTTGCTCAGCAGCACGTCGAACTCCTTGTCTTCGTTGACGTACGCCACACTGAAGCCAAAAGCTCCAATGCATGTCCGTATGACTAGTTACTAGTAAATGGCACTAGTCTGCCAGACACCCTGAAATCCTCGTCTACAAGCGTTTCCAGCAGCTTCGTTCTTCTTGCGGACCTAATGTGGCTGAGTGCTTGTGTGAGAAAGAGGAGTTGTCACGTGATGGGTTCCGAGATAAGTTATGGGTTTGCTTGGGGCTGCTTTTGCAGTGCAGACGCCGTTGCCGAATCGGCAACAGCATCACGAAGAGACTTAACCCTAAACCCTGAACCCTGAACCCTAACCCTAAAACCATGAAGAGACTTAACCCTGAACCCTGAACCCGAAACCCCAAAACCCTGAAAACTGAGCCCGACTCCGAAGGAATCACGTCCCTGCCGGGGGTTGGAGATATTATCCCGGACAGAAGCTGGTGGTCTGCGTGAAAGGCCCTTCTGATTCTACGAACTTGCACTGGATGTAGAGCTTTGGGGTTTAGGGTTTTAGGGTTTAGGGTTGAGGGTTTAGGGTTTAGGGTTTAGGGTTTAGGGCTTAAGGTCTTTAGGGTTTAGGGTTTAGGGCTTGGGTGTTCTATTAGAGAAGCCCAAACCCTTCTCCCTTGACACTCACCCAGCAATTCCATATATTTTGAGCCGCCCACATCAAGACTCTGAAAGTTCCCACAAGATTCAGTGTCGCAACCGACTCAAAGGTGCATGCATAGTTGCCGGGATAGTTTTAAGTAGATTTAGGGGTTATAAGTAGTTGTACGTGCCGCTGCCTTACTATTAGGTTTTTACTGCGTGCCCTTGGCCCTTTAAGCGTGCTTGTCAGTGTGAGGCTACCCTCCCAAACTCTAAACTAACTCGAAACCTCAATCCCAACAGCTTACAGTCAAAACCCCAAACCCAAAAGCCCTAAGCTCAAACTCGAGATCCTGACACCGACTCATTGCATTTCGGGGGATGGGATAGTGATGCAAGGCTTGGGCGTTTCATGGTGACCACAAGTCCTTACAAAACCTCGAAGCCTTCGAGGGTTTAGGGTTTAGGGTTGAACAACCCCCTTTACAAAACCTTGGAAGTACCCTTACAGTACCCTCATAAAATCCTTCTAGACTCTCTTATAGACCCCTTAAAGTTAGCTCTGATAGAACCCTTATCAATTCCTTGTAGAATGGACAGGAGCCTACTCGAACCCTGGCAGAACCCTTATAGAGCCTGAATAAAATCCACAAAACCTTGAACCCTAAACCCTAAACCCTTATAGAGCCTTTATAAAATCCCACAAAACCCTAAACCCTAAACCCTGGCAGAACTCTTATAGAGCCTTTATAAAATCCCACAAAACCCCCTTGTTCGAGCAGGTCTCTGGCGCGAGTTCAAGGTTCACAGTCTTGGAGAGTACGGGTCGCTCCACATGCTGGAGGCTTGTAGTCGTCCAGAGTGCATTATTAGGGTTTAGGGTTGAGGGTTTAGGGTTTAGCGCATTACCCTAACCTAGGACCCTAGGGGCTCTAGTACCCTATATAGTAGGTACCCTGAGGGTTTAAGGTTTAGGGCTTAGGGGGGTACTTTGAGGGTTTAGGTTTTAGCGCTCTAGAGCTCAGGGGTTTATAGGGCTCTAAGGTTTGGGGTTCAGGGGTTTAGTATTTGGGCTACAAGCAGGGTTCTGTAAGGGCAGCACCTGGGCACTGGAAGGGCTCTATATGGGAACTATCAGGATAAAAAAGCAGGGTGCTATGAGGGTTAAGGTTTCTTGCAGGTCGTGGCCTGGCTTGGCTAGACATCATTCCCGTAGCCATAACAAAGGGTTTAGCAGGTAAGGGCTTTCGATCTTCCTCAAAACAAAAAAGCGGGATTAAGGTTTAGGGTTTAGGCTGGGTCTGGGATATACAATTTTCTTGTGGTTTTGGGAACGCTTCAGCTCTGGCTCCGGGGGTTTCAGGTTCCTAAATGGGTTCCTTCGCAGGGTTTCTATACGGGCTACGAGGGTCACGACGGTAGCGTTTATGGGAGTTGCAGCGCAGTCCCGAGGACCGAACCCCGAGTGCTTCGGGCAGGTTTAGACTTCGGAGAGGCCATTGGAAAGCTGTTTAGGGCTTAGGGTGCAGGGATTAGGGATTTAGGGATTAGGGCTTCAGGGTTTAGGGTTCAGAG